AATCTCATCAGTTTGTCATTAAATAGAATTTCAGCAATTTCTCTTTTTTTAAATAAAGGTTTTAATATGTAAATTTAAGCAAGGGATAGAAAGATTTGATGTCTATTACAACAGGAGTTAAAGTATTTTTTTGCATGGTTTAAGCAAGATTTGTTTTATTCTTTTAATGGTAAAAATTGTGTCTGAATTCCATATATATATATATATATATAAAAAATACATACATACACACACACACACACACACAGACTTTTTTTTTTAAAGTAGCATGGGGGAAATCGGTCTCATGGGCTTTGTGGGATCTAAGGTTTTTGTGGGTGAGAGCAGGATAAAAATGCAAGAAACAATACAGGAGCAGGTGGGAGTGGGAATTACAGGGCAGGACAGGAGCGGGATTAAAACAGTAGTCCCACACAGGGCTCTACCCTGAATCTTCTTCCCTTCCTAGGGCAATCCACATTTGAAGCTTTAGCTGTACTAGCCTGTAAATCTAGATTATCTGTGAATCCAGGAGAGCAATACTGAAAGATACTAACCCACTCTTCTTTGTTGAAGGCTGAACCCCAAATGGGACCCCAGAAAAGGAAGTTTTCCTGAAAGAACCTTGAACAAACTTATTCAGAGGAATTCAATGGCACTGTGAACACAGGAGAATCATTTCCTGTGCACTGCATCTTATGTTGAGGAACAGGAAGAGTGGAAACTTCACCTAAGCTCTTCAATTCATCCATAGTGCCACTGGACTCTTTGGGGGAATTAAGCCTCACATTGCGGCTTTCCCCTCAGAATCGAAAATCCCCCAAATATTCCATTGGAAAAACTCAAATCTTCCAAACATGTTTGCAAGCAGAAAGGACATGTATTACTTTGTATTCAAGCTTGAAGAACTGTGTGGCCTTTAACTCTTATTACAGTTTATTGAGCCCTGGTTTTTGGAATCAATTGTACTTGAAAAAACAGTTGGCACTCGTGTAGATGAAAAATATTTTCCTACTGCTGCATAGGAAAAGAGGCAAAAACCTCGTACTGTCCCACCAGGGTATTAGAAAAACAAGAAATTTCTTCTGATGGGAATACAGAAAGCTATCAGTTGCCGCAGAGCAGACACCAGCTTTCGTGTGGGAATAAAGGCTTATGGGGGCTTTCAGACCCACAGCTGTTGACTGACAGCTTTGCACTTCATCAAGGGAGATTACACTAGCTTGTGAGTGGACTGCAGGACTTTGGTTTCCATTTGACAGACCAAAATTCTTTCAAATCAGAGGGGGGTGCAGGGATTTAATTTGAAGAGGGCTTCTTCCCACCTTCAGCCCCTCCGCCACTACATCTCTTACCAAGCTACCAGTCCCATGGAGTTTAGACAGGGCAAGGCCTTGCTCCTGAACAAAAGAAAACCCAGAAGATAATCAATCTGTAAGATTAATTTTCTCCTGGGTTTTAAAGGTGAACTCTTCCTCAGTATTTTGTAAGAAAGGCAGCAGTTCTGCTTGAACTGCCGAGTTCTCTGGATGCACATTCTCCTAAACACTTTGTACCTTAGGAATGTAATTCAGTTTTAATTTTTAGCTAAGGTCCCAATTCAAGAAAACTCTTAAGTTCCTAAATCCATCTCTCTTCAGAAAAGTATTGTAAGTACATGCTTAAAGTCCTATGGACTTTAATGTTTTCCTGAATCAGTACTATACAAAAGCTTTCCATTCCCAAGGATTCCAAGATGCTATAAAAGCACTCTCACTCTGCCTGAAGCAATCTGTCTAAAGATAGGAGTCCTGACTTGCAGGCCACCGCTCTGAGTTCTATCCCCATCCATACCACTGACTTGCTCTACAACCATTTCATAAACTGTGCCTCAGTTTACCCATAAGTTAAACATGTCTGATTCTATTTACCTTACATAGATAATTGGAGGCTTAACTTCAGAACAGCAATTCAGGAGCCCTGAAAGACAGGTTCTACATAACTACAAAGTAGGAGTGCTAGTATGGTGAAAGATTCCATGGTCAGAACATTCATTGTCCCTTCCAAACAATGGAACTGCCAGAAGCACAGCACCCTCTAACATCATGCTGGGGTATTGCATCAGTTTTGATGAGAATGCAGGGAACCACCTGCTTGAATCACTCATACCACTTCCCATAGCATCTCAGTTTCCTTAGAGGTTTCCCAGGCAATTACTAACCTAGCACAGCACTATTCAACTTGTGAAAGGTGATAAAAATCACAGTTCAAGGGGAGTCTGTTGTATCACACATTTTTTATACTCAAAAGAATCACTTGCAAAACCCAAGCTTTCTAGGCATGAGACACCATAGAGGGACCCAATTGTCAGAAAGCACTGAGCACCAACTTTCTCAATATGGGTGTCAAGTCCAGCACCCAAATCTCTACTCACTATTCAAAATCTTGTCCTGTCTTTCATACATTGCATGTGATGTAAATCAGAACACTTGCAAAAGAACCCAGTAATCAAATTCCTCTAGGAATGTTTATAGTGGCAAGCTTATATTTGCCTTGTTCCAGCAGCACTGTATTACTTTGCAATGTTAGCGGTCACTGTTGCTATTAGCATTATTAGACTGTTTAGAAAGTTTTTTAGAAATTCAAAGATCATTAACTATATTAATTAAAGTGTTGTTCTATGCACAAAGTAAATGAGGTAATATCTTTTATTGGACCAACTTCTGTTAGTGAAAGAGACAAGCTTTTGAGCATACATAGAGCTTTTCTATAGGTCTGGCAAAGGTACAGGGTCCGAAGAACTCTGTGTGGCTTGAAAGCTTGTCTCTTTCACCAACAAAAGTTGGCCCAATACAAGATATTACTTTCCCACTTTGTCTCTTTAACAGCAATTGTCTCTCTTCTGCTCCAGAGATGTAACTAACTCAGAGATCAATTACCTACTGACATGACCTCACAGTGGTGGAGAGTATTGATTAAATACTATGTGAGCAAAGGCCATTTAAAAAAAAGCCCACCTTTATTTTTATTAACAAACAGCGATAATCGCTGAAGCACAGACATTCATATTGACACCAGCCCTTCCCCCTCCCTCCAGATATGAAATAGCTGACACTTCAGCTTCATTTATTTTTAACTGGATCCCAATACTACACAGTCACCCCACCTTCATTAACACCACGTTTTTATCATGCTAAAAGTTATTTGACATACCATTTATAGACCATTTGCAAGGCCCCTGGCTGAATGGTTACAGCATGACAAGCCAGAAGTGTTCTAGGATCTAATCTGGGCTGAGGTGCTGACTCACTCTGCAACCTTGGCCTACTCCCCTTCATCTTGCCTTGCCTCAGTCACTCAGTGGGTGAAAACAGTACCACACTGAGAAACAGATGCTGGGTCTGAGTTTCACTCTCTTGGGAGTATTATCAAAAGTTTTGCCACCACGGCTGGCATGACGATAGGGCCAGTTTCAGAGTCGCACACCGTGCGCTATTGGCAACTCCGGGGCCCCTCCCCCACACACTGCACTTTGAAAAACTGAAGCACTCTCACATGAAATGCGAGATATCGTCCATCCCTCTCCAGTCCTCTCCCACTTTGTCTCATTCAGCAGTGAGGCCAAGATTAGCTGTCACAAGCAGAAGGCACTGCCTCAACTCAGAAGATGCACTGTCTCTGGGTTTTCTCCCTCTCCCCCTCCTTATTTTCTCCTCCCAACCCCCCACCTGCCCCTTCTGATTTCTATATCTTCTTTGTTTCCAGTCCCTGTATCCCATCACAAACTTATCATTACCTGCACGCTCGTCTCCTTCCCCTCCATCCCTCATCCACACCGTTGACACAACCAACTTCCCTCCACCCCACGCAGCCCAGCACCATCTTCATGTTTGCCACCTGGCGTAGGAGTGCCCCTCAAACTCATCCTGCATCTCTGGGCTCGTTCCAAAGATGCTCCACACAGAAAGGGGAGCAAAATAACTATCAGGATGCTAAAGTGGACCCTGCAATCCCATCCCCCTGTCAACAAGGGATGGCAGGATCAGATAAAGACAAGACAAACAGTGCCACTATCCTGTTGTAGGTTCATGCTACCAAATACTTCACAGGAGCGAGCAGGGGGGAGGAGGGAGGAAGAGAAATATTGGTGCAGCACCACCTAAATATGAAATGAAAGGAACAGACCTTGTCCAGTCATGTGAGCAGACCAAATATATGGAAGCACGTGCAGTCGCCACTCAGCAACACGCCTGTTGCTCACAACTAAGCATAGCTCTAGGTAGATGATGTTGCCAGTTATTTATTGGTGGTATTGCAATAGCACCTAGAGACCCCAAGCTGGGATCGCGGCTCCTCTGTGCTAGGCGCTGTACACATATGTAATGAACAGATGGTCCCTGTCCCAAATACTTAACAATAAGTAATTACAGTCAGTGGGAGCTGCTGGGTGCCCAGTACTTTTCTCAGCCTTAGCTTTCTTACAGATAAGGCTCTAAAAGTGCTAGGTTAAAAACCAAATGGAAAATAAAAACCACACACAGAGAGGGAGAGGGAAAACAGGTCTGAATCTACAATATGGACATTGCATCCTGATACTCAGGCATCAAACTCTGTATCTGTCAGTTTCACAAGCATTTATAATAGGGCTCCTGAACGGTTCTGATCTATAACCACAATAATGAGAGCAATGAATTGGAGGCAAATTAAGCCATTAATAATGAGGAGGGCTTACAAAAATGGCCTGGCTCACAGGCCAGTCTGCAAAGTGCAGAACCAATCTACAACAGAGGCCAACATTTGGGAATTCTAGGTGAAGCATGCTCCCAGGAGAGTGTGTGCATTTTTAACCAGTTGTGCAGTGCAGTGTACAGATGACAGAGAAAACATTCTCTTTTTAGTGCTAGCAGGTAGATTCAGAAATTAAGCAAAATGGGGATAAAGAACTTGCACAGATTTTAGCAAATTCTGTAGGGCTACGTATGACCCAACACTTTTTCAGACTTTTAAGTAATCCTAAATTGTAACCATAAAACTAAACTTACCTTTAAAGTTGCCAAGGAACAAGCCAGGCAGAATCTGTGAGAAAGAAATATAGTATCAAATATAGAGGTCTTGTGGTAGCACAGTTCAACAATGTTCGATTTGCATACAGGATGGAACATATTTCTGTCGCAGACTATTGTCTAATAGAATCTAAAGATGCTGGCAGCATTATATATTTCTCCTTGCAACTTTCCCATTCTATAATGCTTCAGACACGCTGCACTTTGAAATGTTTCCAACATAACTAGGGGTTGATGGTAATATTTGACGGTTATACACCATCTTCCACCCAAGGATCTCAAAAATAGGCCTTGTAAAAACCTTGTTGTAATGTATTATCCTTATTGAATCAATGGGGAAACAAACACAAAAAAGGTTAAGTGACTTGCCTAAGGACACAGAACAAGTCAGAGAAGGGACTGGAAAATAAAATCCAACAGATCTTGTAGCTCTTGAAGCGGAGGAAGGCAAGTCAGACCACTGTCACCCTACATTGCAGTAGGGTACTCTTTCATTGATTCTCACTCAGTTCATAAGTGCTGTTTGCAGTGATTTCTTATAATTAAGTCACTCAGTTGCACTTCCGCACTCCCCTCCCCTGAACTATGTGCTCCCCTGCAGCGCTCCCATAAACTCTTGCTGTTCTCAGTTACATTACTTTCTTTAACTTAAGAGTTTCAAGGTCTGCTTCAAGGCCAGCTCTGTGCAGTCTGAGTACATGTGGTTAACATTGTGATGTTACCCATTCCCACCCTTTCATAAACCTCCTCTGAACTGAAGCCAAAACACAAAAGAGCATATATGAAAAAAAGGAACACACCACAACTCAAAAGTAAAACTTTTGTTCTCTCCCACTACATGACAGACACCTGGACATCTATGACCAACATCTAATTCCTCTGAAGAAGCTAAAACACATGATCCATTTTCCTTAACACGCATGCAAAGCATACCACCATCAATGACATGTCAACACCGACTTCCTAATGCCTTAGCAACGCCCTAATGTCATCACAACTGCATCAACAATCTCTCTGGCACTGCTATTTAAAGGAAAAACTCCACCCATTTTGCTCAGTCCAGCAATCCGGAAGTTCTAAAAGGTATGAAGCACTTTCGCCAGGGATTGGCATTTGAGCCCTTTCTTCACAACAACCATCTTGTTGAAAAGTGACATGATTTGTGTCACGGAGTGTAGCAGCGCAGCCTATGGGACTGTAAATTAGTTTCCAGCATGCTTTAGAATACTGGTTCCGCAAACGAAAACAATCTTTAACGCTTACTAGGCCATTGTCAATCAGGCCAGAAAACAGAAAAACCACACTTTCAGGCCAACATTATTTCGCATGAACCTCCCTCCCCTACATCTTTAGCTGATATTTCCTCTCCATGTCAGGTCACATCATATCTAACCCTAGGGTTCAATCCTGTTAACAGCTCTAGAAGGCCGTGTTGCCTGGACCCAAAGAACCTTTGCAATTCCCTCAACCATGTACAGAGCTGAATGACACTCATCCATTTCGTTTTTATTTTTGCTTTTGCCATACTGGGATCTGAAGGAATGTGAAACTTAAAGTGAAAGTCAAGGGTTGCAAAATCACATGAACCAAAGCTGACAATGTTTGACAAAAACCCACGCAAACAGACCTGCAAGTTTAACACAGCTAATGCGGTCTCACTATTTATCTCCTTTTGAGTTTTACTAATTAACATCCTTTACAAAGAGTGCAAAGTCTGACCCATCTAGAAAGTCATTACTTCAAGAGTGCATGTAATTTGGTCTCCTTTGTACGGACCACTTTGAGGACCCATCTCTGAAACTTTTCACTCGCTCTCAAACATGCTGGGGGGGGGGGGCGGGGAGAACCACTCATGGGACTCTTAAAATAAAGAAAGAAAGATGTGGTTGTGTCTCTGACTCAGCTTGAGTCTCTCCAAGTTAAACAGATGTGGGCCATTGCCTCTGTTTGAGAGTGAGGGTGGGGAGACAGCACATTAGCAGCTTCTCTCAGGAGTATTGTACCTGTGGCATGAGTGAAGGGCCAGCAACTGCTGGCATAGTATGCTCCCAAACAGATCACAATGGCACAAAATTCAACAACCCAACCCAGCCAACTATCTCAGTCTGAGCTTAAATTCCCAAATACACCTCTACCCCGATATAACGCGACCTGATATAACACAAATTCAGATATAACACGCTAAAGCAGTGCTCCCGGGGAGGGGGGGGGGGCTGTGCACTCCAGCGGATCAAAGCAAGTTCGATATAACGCCGTTTCACCTATAATGCAGTAAGATTTTTTTGGCTCCCGAGGACAGCGTTATATCGGGGTAGAGGTGTACAAACGCAATATTCCATATGTGTAGCAGTGAACTCAAATATAACAGTAACACTGTATGATGCTATAATATTTTAGACTGTACTGCAGCATTTATATACCAAGCGTATATTCCCAAAAGAGGATTCGAGTTTATATTCTAGTCATTATGGTTTCTAATCCTAGTGGTAAAGAGAAAATGCCAAGACTGGGTAGAGGGACAGACTGGAGGAGGGATAAAAAGGAAGATGCTCTTTAAATATGATGTCTCCAGTGAAGGTTGAAAAAACCAGAAGTGTGTATTTGTGCATTATGAAACCAATAAAGGAAATTAAAATGACTTGCAAGGAAGAGGCTGCCTCAGGAATCATTCTAAAAGAATGAAACCTTACCAAGGGGGAAAGCTACCTGGAAAAAAGTGACTCTTCCTAAAGTGCTTACTAATGTTTCAGCACTATGCTATGGTTGGGAACTTTCAGCTCTGTCATCTCACACTGACTTCAGCAAGTGCAATTTCAGACTATGGAGAAGGGAGGATTAGAACCACATGAAGAGTGATGGATGGGTGTTTATGTGTGAGAGAAGAGTGGGAACGTGGGTGGGGGGGAGAAGGGTGGCTATATCATGAACTTTTCAACCACTGCTTTGTGAATAAAACAAGAACTCTTCATATGAGCTGAAACACAATATGAAGCAAATGCTATTTAGTAAATACAACCATGGACAAGATCTCTACTTTGCCACCAATCACCAAGAACATCTAAGTCAGTCATCGGTTCTTAATTGCATTAATGGGAAAGTCAAAAGAATAAATATTGTGATGGCAGAGCCCTTCTAAGAGAACGCTACTGATACTTATCAACCTCCTAGTAATTCTTCAGATACATAAATCTTTTAAGTGGATGTCTGAATGCCCCATTATTTTCTAAATAGACACATACTCTCAGACTATATTAACATAACTTACTGCATAAAGTTGTTTTGACTAATATCTATTAAGCAATCCATGGAAATTCACTGCAGTTTAATGGGTTTTGTGCAGAGATTATGAGAAGATAATGTGATGCAAGGCAAGAACAAGAGGATTAGCCTATTTCACTAAGCCTCACAGGAAAGTCACATAGGTCGATGGACCAGATCCTCACCTGATGTAAATTGACATAGGTCAATTGATTTCCATGGAACTATTTACATCAGCTGTAACTCTCTAGATCGATTTACATTTCTTATAAATTATCCTCTTTATTAAATGCAATTTATATGGGGCACTTATAATTCATGTGCTTAATGATCTTGTAATAACAATTAAACACACCTACACTAATAAATCCCAGTTGCCATTTTAACAATGCCACTAAAAGAACCTTCCCCCATGAAATACTGAGACTTACACCATCCCTTCAAGAAAGCCTGAGGGTATGTCTACACTACAGGATTAATCCGAATTTAGATAATTCGAATTTGGGAAACAGGTTGTATAAATTCGATTGTGCGCGGCCACACTAAGCACCTTAATTCGTTTTTTAACCACATTAATTCGGTGGTGTGCGGCCACACTAACCCTAATTCGAATTAACAAAATCGATTTAGGCGTTACTCCGCTCGTCGAGGTGGAGTACAGAAATCGATTTTAAGTGCCCTTTAATTCGAATTAACTGGCTCTGTAGTGTGGACGGGTGAAGGGTTAATTCGGATTAACGCAGCTAAATCCGAATTAAAGTCCTAGTGTAGACCAGGCCTGAGTGAATAAAAAGATCTTGCAACATACAGTTAATTGATCTTCAGGGGATCAGACAAGAAGGGAGTGAATCCCAGTGGAAGGCTCTTCACTGAGAATGCCTTTCATTAAGAATACCTTGCTCTCACATAAATACATCTAAGTTATATCCGTTTGAGCGTTATCTCCCATCTGATCTCAGCTGCCAAACTTCAACATTAAGAAGAGGGGGTTCTAAGGTCCTGCATGATTTTGAAACACAGAAATCAACATGAACCTTGAACTAAAACCAAATTCAGAGACAAAGCATGAGGAGTTAGATTAAGAAAAGGAAAATGTAGACTATTAAGAAAAACTCTAGCAATCAGATCAGTTGGACTGCAGAATAGTCTTCCCACGGAAGTGGTGGAAAGCCCATCACTGGAACCATTTCTGACTGGAGTAGGAAAGATCTCTAGAAACTACTGTGATGGAAGATAGGCTAAGTGAAGAAAAAGATCTGCAGGATTTTAGCCCTCAACTGAAGAGGTTAAAGACAGAAGGCACTGAAAATTAATTGCAGTTAAGTGGTGAATTTGCAGTCAGAGAGGGCTTGCTAGCCAGCCATTTTCCCATAGTTGTGTTGCATGGGAATATGCACAAATGCTTTCAATTTACTTTGGAAGAATCCGGTGGATGACTAGGTGCCAGGCTTGAGAACAACAAACACAGCTATTTTTGCTAAAATGGGTAGCACAAGGTGTAACAGACAAAAAGTGCCCCAGTCCTCTGCAAGCATTTCTATAAGCCCCAAAACCCATATAAAATCAGGTACACTTACTACTATGAAATACATGTATACCACATTTCTAATTAAACAAAAAACATAGGAACCCCACTGCACTCATGACTAGAACACACAACAATGACAAGGGCTCAAGAACCAACAGCAGCTGTAGCAGTCTCTGGAGCTTTTCCATTCCTAAACCATTAGGGGCAACAATTAATCCTCTCTTGGCTTCAGTACAAAGAGATTCTCCTAATTGAAATAATCCACCATCTGATGAGCTGCTCAAGTCATGTCCCTCTGCAGTCTCCATCATATATGGCTACACTGCAAGAAGCACTCAAATTACCAACTACTGTCACTGGTACTGAGAGGCATTGATGACTCAGGGGAGCACATGCATCCAACAATCAGCTTTGATGATTCCAAGCCTCTCTTAATCCCTTGTGTTACTGCTGGCTCACAAGACTGACAGAAAAGGCAATGATTCTAAGAATAAAACCAGCACCCAAAATCTTCAAAAATGACTCCGGATTTTGGGCACCTCCATTTTTGGGTACCCAATTTGAGATACATTAAAATGGACCTGCTTTTCAAAAAGTGCTGACCACCCACCATCTGCAAAAGCAAAGTAATTAGAAGGTTATGTCCTAAATAGCCCAAATAAAGCAGAGGGAGATTCATAATTGATTTTAAATTGACCTCACTTCCCCAAAGTCTCAGATACGGCAGGTATGTGTTGTTATTCCCATTTTGCAAACAGGAAAACAAATGTGGAGAGGTTAAAGCTCTGATCCTGCATCCATTAACGTCAATGGGCCCAGGATCAGGTCCTCACCGATTTGCCCAAGGCCTCACAGCAAGTCAGTGTCAGAGCCAGGAAATCCTGGCTCCCAGCCTCATGTTCAGTCTACTAACCACATGGCCCTCAAGTGCTAGACAGAGATACATAAAAAGTGGGATCCTTGACACCCCCAATAGTAAGTCTGAGGCAAAAGAAACACCAGGAGTGTGTTAAATCTTCTCCCTGTAGTAATCAGTAAACAATCAGTCTCCATATGGTAGTTTGAAAATCTAATTAACTTGCATTAAACAAGTGTCTGAACACAAAAAGAGCTGATGCTGGAAGAGAAAAGAAAGACATCCAGATTCCTCTATGCTGAATGGTATCAGCTAGGAAAATCCTGATAGTTATAGAAATTCAAATATTTCTTATAGGATACACCCAAAAACCCACTTAAGAAAACAAATAATACAGCAAAAGAGCCAAGAACCACAACAATCACGATAAAGATTTTTGACTTGGCTTCTTCAAGGCATGTGGTATAACACAACATGTCCTGAGACTGACTCAAGGGGAGGTGAGGGGGAAAGGTAACTGTGGAACTGTTAGATGCCTAGGAGATTGCGAAACATAAAGAACGCCATTTATTTTCCTCCAGCAGCTTCCAAGTCTGGCATCTTGATCTTCCTACCCCTCTGCGTGATGGATGGTTTTAAAGGGGGTGCCCAGAATACTTCTTGAACATCTAGGTAGCTGTAAGGACTCTGGCTGCCAGAGACATTTCCGTCTTCTCGTGCAAAACCGAGAAACACACACACAACAAGGAAACGACAACCGAGAAATATACATATACGCCCTGAATACTAGTCATGTGGGCAGCAGTCTTATAAAGGCGCGTGAGGGCTCAGGGATCGGGACTAGAATTATCTAGCTCTCCCACTTTGCTAAACTAGTCTACAGCAAATGTATTTTGCAGGGTGAGGAAGGGAGAAAGATCTACTTAGTACCAGCTGAAACCAAATCATCGTGCATGCATGGCAGCTGCAGATTGCTAACCAGGAAACGCGCCCCCAGGGGGAATTTCAGCCATCATCTCCTTCCCTTCCCCAAAAGCCAAAATTAAAGTTAGGCAGAAAAACCTCATTTGACCTCATCTGTCCATAAACTCCTGTAGCAACGGCTCTTTACCCCTCATCGTACAAGGATGTTTACTACAAAACAAAGCAGGGAGGGGGAGGGCAGGCTGTGGGGCGGCGGTGGATTTATATCTTTACAGCAGCTTTTCGATCCTGAGGAGCCCTGCACACCCCGACGCACATGCACACAAAGAATAACAATAAGCAGCAGCATTACCTTGTTCATCCCATTCCCCATGGCTCTAAGCGGACTGAACTTTAGTACCACGGGAGAACGCTTGGCTGCAGGCTAAGCTTGCGTGCACGCTGCAGGTCAATGTGCATGGGAAAGTGTTTGCCCTGTGATGAGAGTGTGTATGGGGTAAGGGGTTTACTCTCAATTCTCAGCTGGAGCGCGCAGGATCATCTCTGCCCCCAGCGTGGCTAGGCTTTTCTCCTAGATGCCTTGTGAGCAGAGGAGGTTTTACCGCTTAGCTGCCCCAGACCTCGCTGCACGGGAGAACAGCTGAACTAGTCACCAGGGCTCCATTGCCAGGAACCACCTCTCGGCTCTCGCCCTTCTGTTTGCAGGGCTCGCCACCCCCACGTGTGAATAGAACCAAACGCCTAGGAAGCTGCTCCCCCCCCCCGCTCGCAGGCTGCCCTGGGGCTTGTAGTTCCGCCGCTGCCGGCTCCCCCCGCCGAGACCCGCCTGAGAAAACTACAGGTCCCGCCGTGCAAAGCGACCCCAGCCCTCCTCCGCCTTTAGCACACGCGGAGAGAGACTAGGGTGCGTCCTGCCCACTCTCATTCCTGGAAGGGTGAGTAAGCGGCGGCGGCTGGTGCTACGGGTGTGTGGGATGAGGCGAGAGGTTGTTTGGTTTCTCAGCAGCCAGGGCCAAAATAACACAAGTTGCCACATTGAAATAATCAAACCTATTTCTTGCCGTTTATGCAAATCAGGCTTGGTTTTAAAAAAGAAAAACAGGAGAAAAAAAAACCCTTCTATTCAGGGCCTTGTGCCAGGAAACCGCTGCTGACAGCTTTATGCTGATCTGTACAGTGGTTTCCAAGGACTAGGGTCTCTGTAAGCCCCCTGTGCCCCCCACATCCCAGCTTTTCCAAGATCTGCCTGTATTCCCAGTAGGGCTGTAATGTAGACACTACCGCGACGGAAGAGGTTCTTCTGTTGCGGTAGTAAATCCACTTCTCAGAGAGGTGGTGGCTAGGTGGACGCAAGCTTGGGGCTGCTTAAGCGTCACACACGTTGTGAAATTGTTCACAGCCTTGAGCCATGGTGTGAGGTCGACCTATTTTTGTAGCGTAGACCAGGCCTTAGGACATATCTACGCTCCAAAGTTAAGTTGACTTAAGTTACCTCAACAATCATAAGCCGCTTTAATTACATCCATTGTGCACGCCCACACAACGTTCCTTGTGGCAGACCGTGTCCTCAGTTGGTGCTCTTGCATTGACAGAGCATTGCATTGTGGGTAGCTATCCCCCTGGGCAACTCACCACCCTCTGCCCCTGGGAGCTCTGAGAACAGATCGCAGTGCATCATGGGGGGGAGGGGTGCTCTCCATCCCGAAGATGCAGTTCTTTCCCTCTCATCATTCCATGGGCTTCCGACTTCGTTTCACACCATTTTTGAATAGCCCCTGTAAACTGTGCGCCCGCTGACTCTGCCTGAAAGCATGGATCCTGAACTGCTGACAACAAGCTCCCTAGTTGTTTAATATGTGCACAGTTAAATGGGAGATGAGAATTAAATGGAGGCAATGGCTGGTATAGCTAAGGTCTTAGAGTTTGATCCTGCTCCTGTTGAAGTCAAAACCAGAAGTTCCATTGACTTCAATGGTAACAGAATTAAGCCCTTAGTCTGATAAACTGGCACAGTTGTTTGGAAAGTTTGAGAATCACTGCTTTAATATAGTCATGACAAGGCCATAGCTGTCTAAATGCCCTACGGTGTTATTCCTTATGTCGTTTTCTGATGACAGCAGTTCTGTTGAAGGAGAAGAGTATAAATTGGTCTCTGTGCAGTACTTAGTACCTCACTCCTCCCCACCCTTGTGCCTAAATAATACCAAAGAGCTACTCAACCAATGGAGAATAGGAACAGTCTTGAATATTTCATTGGCAATGCTCCCCCAAATGTATTTTATTACAGTATTTTTGTGAAATGTAGGCTCAAAAGAAATTAATTGCCGTTTGCCATAATATTACCTCTCCTGGAATTCTGCACCACTGCACAATGGAGAATTTGCACAGAATTAATGTTCCCCACAAAATTTTATATTTTCATGCAGAATTTGTGATTTCCACCAAAATGTTTTTTTTCTGGTTTTGCATTTCAAATGTATTAGTTACATATACACGTAATGTCTTTGCACACACATGAGCACTACTGCTGTGTGAGCAGCAAGGCTCAAAGTAAAAACCTTATGTATTCCCTGCCAGCCTGAACCCATCCCCCTCCGCTCCGTGTGCATACCACCTCCAGAGATGAATGGGTATTGGCTGGCAAACCACATACAGGACCCAACACACACACACACACACACACACACACACACAATTTACCCTCGGTCTCCCTTGCCCATGCTAACCACTGGCTATCCTACAATTAAACTACCACAACTCACCAACCCCCCTCCCGTTACAGTGGCATGACCCAAAAACCTTACAATACACATAGAAGTTTGAACTTGGACAAGACATGACAGACACAAAACAGTCCTTAAGGATGGTAGCCTCCTTTTAGGCCAGGTCGTTACAATACTTTTGTATAACATACTTTTGTATAATGATTTTGTTTACATGAAACATTTAGTTTCACTGAAACAGAAGATCGCTGTCAACAAAGATACATCAAGTTTGGTATTAATATGCTTAATAAGGAATCTATTTGTCAAAAAACATTTTCTGAACCTTTTGCGTTGTCTGTATTGTTACAGACATACTTGCTGACAGGTATTTTGAAATAAATTACCAAAATAATTGAAACTGGCATGATTATATTGTGCTATTTTGATAAATAAAATATGCAGAATTTTGCAGAATTTTAAAATATCGTGGGCAGAATTTTAAATTTTTTTGGTGCAGAATTTCCCCCGGAGTATAATATAGAAATGTAGAACTAGAAAGGACCTCGGTAGGTCATCTATTCCAGCTCCCTGCATTCTGTACCATCCCTGACACGTGTTTGTCTAACCGGTTCTTAAAAACCGCCAATGATGGAGATTGCAAAACCTCCCTAGGTAATTTGTTCCAGTGCTTAACTACGGATACAGCTAGAAAGTTATTCCTAATGTCTAACTTAAATCTCCCTTGCTGCAGTTTAAGCCCATTACTTCTTTTCCTGTCCTCAGTGGATAAGAAAAACAGTTTATCACCCTCCTCTTTATAACAACCTTTTACATACTTGAATGCTTATGTCCCTCCTCCGTCTTCTCCTCTCCAGACTAAACAAACCCAGTTTTTTCAACTTTTCTTCATCGGACATGTTTTCTAGACCTTTAAACATTTTTGTTGCTCTCCTTTGGACTTTCTCCAATTTGTTCACATCTTTCCTGAAGCAAGGTGCCCAGAACTGGCCATCACACAGTGCTCCAGTTGAAGCCTTATCAGTGCTGAATAGAGAGGAAGAATTACTTCTCGTGTCTTGCTTACAACACTCTTGCTAATGCTGTTCACTTTTTTTACAACAGTATTACATTGTTGACAAAGATCACTGCTCTACAGCCAAAATGCTTCTGAAATAAATGTAGTCAAAC